ACCTATTTGGAGGAGATAAATCCACAATAACATACAAGAACACAATATGAAAGGCAGAATACTGAAGATTCTAAGTTCAATAAGCACAGCTGTTAACAGAAATCAAGTACTTGCTTCATACAATATCATGTATTTGCAATTTGTATGATCTTAAAGTGAAAATAACTGCTTTACTCCCTCCCCATAAAAAAAGACTAGCGAAAAACTTTCTCCTAGTAAAATGACACTGAATTACCCTTATATTGAACCTGGGCCTTCACAGTGATAATTCAGTGTCTGACCTGCCCGATTCATAATATGGACATTTTTATGACTATTAGTTACATTCTTATCTTTAAAGTAGGAATGGTCATTTTAGAGAACACTGTATAACGTTTAAAGATAATAGCCATGGTTCCCTTCACAGACAAGAACTGTTAACATGTCCTATTGAGATATTATAGTCTCTCTACATTGCATGCCAGCATTATTCATTACTAGCAAAATACTCCTAATTTACAACAAAAGGAGGCCTTTATATTTGGATAAAAGCAAAAGAGTAAGCTCCATGCAAAATATGCTCATGATATTCATACACTTACCTGTCATTGTGTTACATGGCCTTGTCTCCAAAGTCAAATCAGACATCACCACTACGCCAAAATCCTGCAGAAACAGGATCAACACATATTGCAAATTTGCTGTTAAGCAGTGAAACTAAGTAACAGACACAGTAAACACTTAATTAGATGTGATTTCCCCTTTGTATTTTATTATGAATTCACCAAATCCAGAAATACTTACAAAATTTTGTAGATTTTAATGGGACCTATATTTTATGTTACACGTCTACCTAGCGCAAAACTTAAAATGTTGGTAGAAATGTGTGACTAATAACAAAAGCAAGTTACTAACAGAAATGGGTTTATTTTATTCCTGCTTTTTAATGACAATGTCAGTGATGTTGAATGACAGGATAATTAATGAATAATAAATTGGAAAAAATATGAAGGATGTGGTCATGGCCTAATTTAAGACATTATCCTGGAATTTGCCTGAGAAGACTAAGGAAAACAAGAAACCTAAGTCAGGATACCTGATCTCCAGATTGATATTTGAACTTGGGACCACCCAAAAGTACAGCACCAATGTTTGATTAAAGGCATAAGTCTTGTATATGGACAAAATAATGAAGATTCCCAAAACGGACCATACATTTACTTACATCAAATGCTTGAATGGAGTCCACATACTTGGAAGGTGGCTGAGTAGCTATAAATCGTTTCCTCCTCCGACGGCGCAAATCCCAGAAAGGAGGCTCCACAATACCTCCTCGAGCAGGTCTAAGATTTTCCTCTTCTGTTTCAGCCACTGCTGTTGTGTTTTCATGCCCTCGAGCCTCTAAACAAAAAATGTATTTAACACAAGCTTTTTTAAGAATAAACTGAAACATAACTTTAAACCCCACATATCCCATCCATTAGGATAGCCAGAACTCAGCATAAGAATAATTCCTGGAACCTCCCATATACAAAGAAAGAGTTATAATCACCTGACAACAACATTTGGTAAAACGTAGAGACAAATAAAAATATTGTACATGGATGTGTTTTCTATCATGTACTGGTTTGACATTCAAATTAGGTTTATTGTTTTTACTACTACTGTTGCATAATAAAGTAAGGTGAAAGATTCAACACAGGTTATTTAATGAAGACATGAGAAAAATTCAAATACATTATCTTGAAGAACTGCGGAAAACCATAAAAATCACATGTGTACAAGTCAAAATTTGAACACAGTCCCTCCAAAATAAAAATCAAACACATTATCACTGCCAATCTGCTGATTGTTACTTAATGAAAATGATAGAATGACAAATCAACATGAAATTAAAGATTAGATTTTTGATTCTCATAACAGCAAGCATGAAGAATACTGTCTTCTGGGAAACTACGTGGAGCAACATTCCAGAAGATAGTCCCCTTTAAATTAAAAAGTCTGAGAATGTTTACACTGTTTCACATGCACATATATCTACATCCATAGAAATGCTACAATTTAAACCAAGAAAGAGGCAGGGTTCTACAACTCACTTTTGGCACAATACTCCCAGGGATCACTCTGTAACGGTGCACTGTTTGCATCAATTGGGAAGCGTGACAGCTCCTGGAACACTCGTTCCATATCCACTTTGTTGCCGGGTTTTGCCAAGAAACTTGTACTTTTGTCAACTGCAGACAGAGCACAGAGAGACTGAGGGGCAGCTGTAATCTCTAGTTGGGCTTCTGACCCTGGAAACTGGCGATTCTCAGAAAACGTTGCACTAACCTGCAAAATATCAAACATAGGATGAAATCCAAGACTTAAAAATTAAACATAACCTTCTGAGGACTATGAACATTTTCCAGTACAAATACAGATATTTAATACAGGTAACCATAATAACCAACAGATAAAGAAAGTGATGAGATATTAGTACTTGAACCCGATAATTTTTGCAAGGATTTGACAACATTGCAGCAAATTAGAGAAAACAAGAAAATCTTCAAACAAACCATACAATTGCTACTTTTCAGACTTCAATTAAGTTGGAAATAAGTATGAAGAAATACATCATCTTCCAGTTCGACCCCCAGAATTTTATACAAACCTTCCAAAAAGCTGCTACAAAACACTCTTAAATTGCCCTTCTCTTTAGTTACCAGCATCAAACAATGAAAGAGTTGGGATACATAATTCAATTCTCATGTTACCCAAAAATAACAATCATATCAGTCTGATCATTAATTAATTGTTATTTAATAATGTCACCATTACCTTATTAGCGAGACACTTTGTTACTCGAATGGAATACATGGAAGCAACAGTCTCCCCATCTTCTCGGACATAGTACACCAAAATGTAGCTCAGTGGCGACATCCTGGGGAGTATTTTGATGCTGAGAACAACTTTGTCTATGGTCTTCTCTATGGCTCCTTCTTCATTGTCTGCCTCTCCACTGGTGGAGTTCCTGTCTGCATCATCATTACCTCCGAGAATATTGACAAACCCTTCATCCAACCTCAGGTTTCGATTTTGCGTGTTATGTTGGATTTGGCCGAAGTGGATGAGGTCACCTCGTGATTTTACCTAAGTGAACAGTATAAAATTTGCATAAAATAGGTTCAAAATTTTTACTGAAGTTTAACCTCTATCTTACAGGAATTGAGGAGGCCATGGACCTAATATGGACCAGAGAGCCATAGAAGAAGAAGAAGTCAACAGAGATTGTGTTCAAAAGCTTCCTGTTGCTTCAGAACCAAATTGCTCACTATTATTAAAATCATTGCCACCACAGAGTGTAACCAATTGACCTTAACCTGAGCTACTATATTACAGTTTTTATCCCTCTGCGTACCTTATATTTTCTTCTCATCTCAGTCTGTCACCAAAGCGATAAATTTCCAACAGTTTACTTATTACAGTTTTGTATGTATATAATGTTTTCCTCAACATAACTATGTATTTAATACTATACACATAGACCATTGAAAAAAAATACAATCAAACATAAGCAGTGGGTGATGATGGTATATTTTACAATATTAATTACATAATTTTACCTCAAATATAATTATATTAATTAAACTAACAAAACACTAAATAATGCTAATAAGATATACTTTCTTTAGTCAGATCCTGACCACTTTTAAACAACATTTAACCCATCGGTAATTGTTTTAAACAATTTCTAATATACTGCTTACCAGATAATGGAAGGTCAGCTGGGTGATGTTTGGCTGCGTTGTGTAATAAATGTCAAATTTGTGGTGTGATTCACATTTGAGAGTCTTCTCATTTTTATCTGTTATTTCAATGTAACTATCTGTTGGAGAAAACCAGGTGTGAACATCAAAGAAAGCAGACGGCTGGTCCATAAACACTCGCCATCGTTTGTCTGGTGAGTAATACTTGGTTTGATACCCTACAGCTGTGGCCTGCAACATAAGTACACATGCACCATCTTAGGGGTAAGTACCTTTAACACTGTGATGTGAGGTCTTTCGTGAAAAGTTAATGCTCAGCTGTTCAAATAACTTCCCAGGCTCATGGAAGCCAAATGTTCATTACCATGTTAAAAACACATCTGGATCCTGTCCTGAACCAGAAAAATTCATTTTACATCAACAAACCATATATCTCAATCATGCATCTTCATATTAACTGTCCATCTCTACAACGTTTTGTCAGCTTTAGTCTTGATTGTTTGTTTATTCAATATACATTTGACTTCTCTCCGTATTTGTAATTTCATTGTAATTTTAAGATCGTGTCATTTATAATTACTTCTGCTGCAGCGCCTGCAAAGTGTACACTGCAAATGTTACAATCTTGTTACAGCTACATATTAATTCACAATGCCAAAAATCTGAGAAACTCTATACATACAGTTAAGCAAAAATGAAAAACAGATAAATGTTTCGTCAACACCATAAAATATTTCAGTGAGAAACCTTTCATTAAATGCTTCATCCCATTCAATAGGCTTTTTACAATACATGGAAGTAGAAAGAGTATACACCTATTAATAATTTCAGATTGACAGGTGCTTGATCTAAAATTCTGTTACTCTTCATGGGCTGACAACAGTAATGTAAAAAAACCAGCTCATCAACAAAAAGTATCAATCTACAAAAGTGTGACTTACCACAAAAGACAAAAGCACAATATTGCGATGCTGTGGTGGAACCATAAACTGAACAAATCCCTCTACATCTGATGAGAAATTCTTGCACACAACAAGTGTACGACTCCATTCTCCTTTCCCTCGTACCTTCAGGCAAAGTTGTAACACTTCCCCAACTGCAGGAGTATTATCTTGCTTCAGAACTTTTACCTGCAATTAGAAGTCACATGCACTTTGTTTTCTGTTAGAATGGATTATGATCAATTTTTATTTTCTATAAATTCATTTCACTTAAGAAACTACACTTCACATAATGCAATATTTATGAAATCTGAGGTTTTCACAGTGGTGAAAGTTAAGAATGTGGTCTGCTGGATTGCGCTACTGTGAAATGTTACCAAGGTTGGGGAGTAACGCGATACCTGCATCTTAGTTGCAGCTATCTGTAACGTTACACGGTGTCACAATCCAGAAGACCACAATCTGAAAGAAAATTTTACTCTGTATTAGTTTTAATTATGCGAGCACAGAAATAAAATTGGAATCTGTACTTCTAGAACTACACAGAAGAGACTACTGATTGCCATCGGAAGCCAAAATCTTCATCACAGACAACCACCTTCCTTACTTTCTCACATGGAATTTTACACTTTCCTTTTGTTGGCTAGTTAGTTAGATGGAAAGAAACTCTTGATTCCAGATTGAAAACTACAGAATAATGAATTGATATTTAAGAGTAATAATGTTCTTTATTTCTAATAATGTCAAGTTTCACATATAAAAAGTATAGACCAGAAACTGCAACATTCCCATTGCGAGCTCTCATTTTGCATGCAAAATAACTCACAAAAACTTAAAAAAAATTGTGGCTGTGCTCCACCCCACTTCCCCAACACTATTTAAGTGCAGAAAACTTTATTTCTAGAAGAAGAACATTTGGTTACTTCTGCACAAACCTTTCCCTTATATGGCAGTCCTGGCTTGAAGTACTGTGGACTGTGAGGCATAAATTCCAGTTTGAGTGCCTGGTGGATCACAGAAGAGACAGAAGAAGCATTCTGAGTGTTGTCAGTCCCACGTTCCGTCACAAAGGCAAACACAACGATGCTGTTAGGGGCGATATCCCAATCATGCAACCCCAGGTCTGTTCCTGTGATGTTGAATGTGTAACAGCCATCACTGCTATGCAACTGAAAAACGGGGTAAATCAACTGTATCCAGGAGTAGCTGTGACTCTATGACTGCATGGAGGTGGAGAGGCTAGAATATAAGTTTGGAATTAGCACATAACACACTGTATTATACAGATGCATAAAACCATAAAACCTTTTTGTCACTCCCTCCAGGTAGCTGCCAAGATAACAAACTGATAACAGGTGGTCTTTCTTCAAAAAGGAATAGTTACTCATATGGTAAAGAAATTCCCTTCTTTTATAAAAAGTAATAATGCATTACCATGTTCAAAAAGCTTGGTCTTGAGCTGGCTGAATCCAATCCAGGCCTTTATACTCTAATGCTGTGTTGTCTGGTATAAATTGATCGATGCTTCAGAGGTACTAACTTCATCAACAGGATGGTGAACAATTCACCTTACATAAAATAATAGCATCTTCCTATCTCTCAATTATTCAACCCAAAATTTTATATGCATATCTTACCTTTCACACACACATAAGAAGCATTGTTTGGTTCAATACCCAAGGGAATATGAAGACTTACAATACTCAGCAGTACACATGAAAATTCTGGCCATACGGTCTTATTCATACATTTACCTCGGTCATCAACTTGATCTCTGGTGGTTTTGTTTTCTTCTGGCGCCATGTTGGAGTCTGAGGAATGGCCTTAATATGCAGCCGTCCCTTCACTGGCTGTCCATATGAATACCTATAGCCCCATTGGCATATTACAGTACATATGACAAAAATATTTTTTAAAAACTAATCTTCACACACTTGATGAAATATCAATAAAGTATTTCAAGATTTGTTGAAATTCCTCTTCAACTTCAAGGTAGGTATAAATTGTTAAACATACTTGGTTTTCAGTAAAAAATCTGAAGCCAAGGACATATATTAATAATGTAAAACTCCAGAAGATTAATAATAAGAACATATATAAATAATAGATAACCAGTATAAATGTAAATGCATGGAATTTGAATTTGAGCCGCTCATAACATTTTATTTTGAATTTAAGATTAATTTAAAATGGGCTACCATTTAAACTAATTTAAAAAATATTTGGTTACCAGCAAGATATTCAAAGTTGATAAGGTAAACATGGAAAAACTGGCATTTAAAATTTTCTTGACTAACACCTTACAACTTGTCAGGTCTGACTTTATGCATTATTCTTAAAGACAATTAGTGGCCAGACTTGAGAATCACTGGACGAAATCCATTGATTCATATCCAGCTTACTTGGCACATATAGTCCACTTGAGATGTTTTGCATCAGCCAGGATATAGTCTGGAGCTTTAATGGTGACTTCGAACCTTGGAAGAACGTATTCACGAACTTCAAACTTCTGAGCATAAGTGTGAGATTTGTTTCGTTCAATGTTTATCTCCCACAGACCCTAAAAGAAAAAAAACAGTATATGGAAAGAACATGTGTTGCCTACTTCAATCCAGATTATGAGGCTAGCATTAACTAAAAACTAGTTTTATATTTTATTTATTTGCTGTAACATGTCAGCCATATTTGTATGCACAGGTTTTATCATTTTCAATCACAATTTGTTTACATTATTCAACACGTCTTGGGTTTCCATAAAAATATAATCAGTTCTTTAATGTGTATATGTTAGTATGTATATGTGTGCCCTTTTACTTGGTCACATGAAATTAATAGTAATTAAAAAAAATCATTAAAAATGTTAAAACAACATTTCATATAAATAACAGACAATGAAAAAGAGGAATGGCTATAAAGCAATTGGCACCAATAAAAGACTCATTATGAGTAGATTGTGCTGATTAAATAACATGGCTGCAGATACAAATATACAGAAATTTTACGCTAATCTTTTCTTTTACCTGGGGAGGCTCATGAGAGAGTTGGAAACTAAGTTGTGCTAATCCTTCTTGTGTCCTCACATCCAACCACTGAGCCAACCGAATCTGAGACGGACTCTCAATCCATACTCTACTAATCTAAACACAAAAGATCATTCATTAGTGTGAATAATTATGACATTTTTTTAGATCATAGGACCCTGAACCTTTATGTCATGCAAAACAGAGACTAAATACAAAGCATAATTCATAATTCATTATAAAAATATTACACAACACAGAAAACTAGACACATGGAAATGTATAGTGGACACATGTCCATTATTACTGTCAAATTATAACTAAAAATTTTATAAATGTTCAATGGCTTTTGAGTTTTTACATGTGGATAGACAGTTTTATAAATGTTCAATGGCTTTTGAGTTGTTACATGTGGACAAACAGGCACATTGAAGCTAATGGGTATTTCTGCAAATTCATTGCAAGCACACGTTAAATGGGTCCCACATACATAAGCCCTGAGCCCATGTTCCATACTCAGGAAGTACAATCTCCATTTTATATATTATTATTATTATTATTATTAAATTTACTTTAACTCGTCAATTTTATGATGAAGATGTCAAACATTTATACTTTAATTTTATTCTGTTTTAAACACATTAGTAGGAGCAAGTTTCATTTGATTACTTTGTTTACTTAGGAGTGACTTAACGGCCTACTCATTTAATGGTTTTACTTACTGCGGTAGTGATGGGCATCAAGTCATGTGTGAGTGTGAGAATCCTGAACTTGACCTCTTGTCCAGGTTTGTAAACTGGCTTGTCTGTCTGAATCAGAGTGATGTATGGGTCATGTTGGATGTGGACTTCTTTCACGCTGTTAATATTGTAGTCATAGTGTTCATCAAACCGCACCTTCAGGTGGAGCCGACCCCGTGCTTGTAATGTGGGTGGCACAAATAGCTCCATACAGCTTCCTGCTCCTAAAGACACCATTAAAAATATAGTTTTTATATATTCTACATCACAGTAATGTTTTCGACTCCAATAACTATATCCCGTAATTTTATCTTCCAAACATTTCTGAAGGACTTAACAGAAAGGAACAGTTGTACAATGATTTATCTGAAAACAAATATTTTTCATATTATTTACATTGACAATAGATGTTGAAAGTGCCATCTTCCTTTTGACACCTGAGTTTCTCATAGAGATAAACATGGTCTCCAAATGATCACAATCAACTACATTTTTCCTTTACTACGCACATCACACATTGACTCCATCTGATCTTACACATGAACTATCAAGAAAACACAATTTGACATAATTCAGCTGACATTCTCAACATCTGAGTAAGACTGGTGCCAGCACATCATCAAACAGTGACCACTCAGAAGCTTTTGCATGAAATTCATCTTTGCACTTAAAGAACTTCCATTTAACTGGTTCAGCTCGAGATCATGCATGCAAGAATTTTACTCCATTAGTATGGATTATACAATTTTTCAACCATCCTGTAGAAACACACTAGTTCCCGCCAAAAAAAACCCTCTGCACATTAATGTACATCTGAAAGTTCCCAGTCATTACAAAATGCTTTAATATTTTTGTGTTTTGGCCAAAAAGAAGACATTTTTAAATACCATTCTCATCAAACATTTTTTAAAATTTCCAGGTTGAAAATACTAACTCCGAAAAGGGTATAGTAGATTAATTGCGTGTGTTCTCATTGCAATACGTGGGCGACATTACAGATTTACCATTTTTTATGTCGTGCCGAGTAGATGCGATCTTGTCATCGGAATCCGGGTGCAATACGTCTACGCTGACGTGAGCAATTCCGCTCACATTGTGGAGAGACAAACACACAGACTCTATGCTGTCGGCCAGCAACCGCTTCGGAGCTGTGAAGATGAAACCCCTGAAATACACATCTTGGTGTAGTTTATTTTAAACACGCTGACTTCTGTCATGATTTCTACAGCCTAAAATGGATTATTCTTTTATAAAGCTTATATCTATGGTAAATCCTGGTCCAGAGGCCAGGTTGTGTGGAAATACAATATTAAACAACTGAACCACAGAGCTAAGGAATGATGATGATGATGATACCACTAACGCAGTAGAAAGCAAAACATTTCTTTTATATTCCTCCAGTTTTAGTGGTCTGGCACTGCACTACTAGCTAGAATGGAACATTAATCACTGACTTATATCCTGAGGAGGTCGGCATTTGAAACCTGACTAATGTTTGAGCTAAGCTGTTATAAGCATTATCACATGGCAAAAAGTATTACCATTTTTGTTTGTCTCTCAAATTTGAACAAGATTATCCGCATTTATATAACATGAAGTTACTTTTATATAAATATATCATTACGATCTGTCACTATTTGGTCTGCAATATTTATCATTTTTGAGTTTTGTCTGGTGTGTTGGAAAAGAGGTGTAATTTTTATCCAGAATTCTGTTTGAAGTGGCCATAATTAAGGAATCTCTGAATTCTCACACATCTGAGATTTACTCGCCATAAAATCTATGTATTTTACAGCTTAAATATTTATTGCGATGATATCTTTATTACCCCAGTTCTGTGCAACAGCCAAAAACAATGTCGACTCTACTTATCCCTTCAAATTCCAGTGGTAACTATCTGTACCACCTAATTACACAATCAGAAACCGTCGATTTGATCGTAATCTTTCTCATAGGATGCAGAAGAATATTATGATTCATGCATATTTTGTATGTATGAGTCTCCTATGATTCTCTACGTAAACAGAGATCACTTTTTAAACAGCGTTAGCCAATTGATCTTCGTAATGGTGGACTGACGAGACCTGTCAGTAGTCTCCTAAGCCCTGACCCAAGAAATGCAATGGACCATTTTTTTAATGATGTGAAAAGCACAGATTCTTCCACCCGTTGTACCATTAAGTAGGACAATTGATGTTTAAAAATAAATACGTATTCCCTCGATTTGAAGACGAAATTTTTCCCACACGTAAAAAAAAATTCTGGAATCGGGGTGCGTCTTTCGTTTGATGGCGTCTAAGAATCGACGATATAGCGTCCTTTTCCTGGAAACCTATTACTAAATTAAGTGTACGTCTTATAACTCGATTACCTAACATAACCTAAAAGTAAGCTGACTGACACGCCCTCTGCAGTCAGTGTTACAGGCACACGCACACATTGTGGGGTTACTTTTCGAAACAGGCGCTATAAAACAGAGAAGTAAGCATCATTCGGTATGATTTGGCTGACTTAACGAGCTGATATGATCTGTATGAAAGTACAGAGTCGAATGCACATCCTGTGTGACATAATAAAAGTTCAACAGCCTACATAAACCACGCAACGTCGCAATAAATTTGACACACATAACTTGTCACAAGAGCGCTTGCGCGCAAATATTGAGAACGGCTCTGAAACCTCTACCTGACCCGACCTAACCTAACCTGTTCAATGATTACCACGGGTAAAACTCGGCCGGGGCGTGACGCTAACCCACTCATTCTTATCTAGTGCTGAGGTTAAGAAAGAGTAGAAGCTCTACTACCTCTTCCCCCAAACGCCTAAATGGCGGGTAGGGGGACATCTTTACTTTTTTATATATAATTTGTCGGTAAGTGTTGCCAATGCCGAGAAACGTTCCAAAGCAAATATGTAAAGTTTAATTTTTCCTTTTTTAAGTGTGTTCCAATCATTGAAAATATAGAATTTTCCTATTTTTAATCCCATCCGAATGTCCTGTCTCAGAATAAGTTCATGCTGATTTCTGCTGGCATTATATCGCATATGGACAGCAGACACGAACCTCTAGTGAGTCGTTCTTTGACGTATTACGACGCGTAATAATGAGCACTGCCTCTCCCCCCGTTTGGAAACGACTTGAACGCCTAGCGCTATCGGCAACTTCTCCGACATGTTTGTCATGCGTATAGTCTAAACAGTTAAATGTAGGTGCATACATTTCTTTGCAGATGGGCACGATAACAGACCTTCCATATTTATTAGGCAAGGATGTTCATGAAATCACCATTTATGGGGAGGTTTGTGCACTCGTGTCTGCCTAAAGCACCAAATCACAGCGAATTTTAACCACCAGTTTTAAAGTTTTGAAGCGCGAAGTACATACAAATTAAGATCGTACCGGGGAAAAAAACACACTGAACGTCTCAATTGTTTCCTGCCTCCTTACGCCACCTTAATCACGTGTCCCAGTACCATTCTGCACAGACACACACCCACCCCAAATCCTAATTTGTGTTCTGTGTTTTCCGAAGTAGGTAGAGTCCTTGCGAGCAACTTTTTTCAAAGATTTTTACCATCCAGACTATTCATTGCGACAAAATTGATTGGACAAGACTAAGTAAACTACTTAATGACATCTTCTGAAGACGTGAAAGAAATTTGCAGTCACACATTCCACATCATTTTTAAAAAAATACTTCTTTATTTTTTTAATATTTCGTGTTTCCATGACTTTCATTGCTAAAGGCTACAACCATGGTATAAAGACAATATAACAAATCCATTTCACTGACAGCGTCAATAATAGGCCTAAATACATTTAAATTATTATGTGATTTCTCTTTTACGAGATAGGGTACTTCACTGCAAGCATTTAAAGGGTGTTTTTACCTGTTCGCTGATGTCGATACCCTTTGGGTCGTCAGAACATGCAGAAACACCAATAAGCACGTGAGTTTCATGGCGAGGTGTACCAACGAAGCCAACAAACACACACGCAGATGGGGAAGTCTTTCTGTCCACTGGGTCTCAAGCAGACATCGCCAAGCTCGGAGCTAAGCAGACGCAGTAGCGATCTGGACAACTCATCATGCAGAGACTGGGAGATGCTACCCACAACGAACAGAGTTACAACTGGAGTACTACAGGCTGGCGAGTAATTCAGGCACCTTGAGAGCTCGTTATTCAAATTTGCACACGGGCACATCTCATGTCATGTACCATTCAACACGCTTAAATAAAACCTGGCTTACTTTCCTTCATATCGCTTGTTATTTTGGCTATTGTAGCCATGAAAATGGTCTGTATTTTGTTTCATGTATCGATTTTCTGTAGGACGAGTCCATTTCTGAGAAAATTACGCGTTAGAGTAAAACTACAGGATTATAAATCACACAAACTCACATATTAGCGAATGTCCTTAAGTGCAAACTTAAATTAAGTCCCTTCAGGGGTTTAGGGATGAAACACAGAGAGACGGGAAAGTTACCTTGTGCATCTTCTCACGAAAGTGTTTCTGGACTTATGATCGCTGGATACTCGCGACTCAGTTCAAACCCTTCCGTAATTTGCGGATCATCATTTGCATTAACCGGTATGTCTCATTACCATAAATAACTCGCATTTCAGAGATCATAATTTGATTACCCTGGTTTGACATGATGACAGCGAAATGCAGCAAACCAGAATGCAGTTCTCTGAACAAGGTCACGGCTTCTCGACGATTCTAAGTTCTTTGCCAGGGACTCCTTTATCTCAGTAACACAAGACGCGGCGTAGTTCCCGGAGACTTTGAGATAACAATCGACTCCACAACTAGAGTCCTTCTTCAAGACGCTAATAATCGTTCAGCTAGTCTATAAACCCCATACATTTTACGGAACCTGAGATTTTATTACCGTCTTCAAAATCCTGAGGTAAATGAATCCAGTCCTCGCCAACCCACCCTATTTATTTAAGAGCCATTTTAATATTATTGCCCCCCCCCCCCCCCTCAAGGTTTTCCTGCCAGAAATAATTTGGCATTCTTTTAGGTTCCAGCACGAAACAATAACAACAAATAAGACGTACGACAAAATTAGGAGGATATTAAATTCAAAAACATACTTGATAATAAGTAGGATTTGAGGTTTTCACGGCTGTGAGTCCAAATATGGCTGTTTTCTGAGTTGCAGCGTCGTGAAGTCTGGTAGAAATTTACCGACGTTTCAGAAGTCCTTGCTGCCTCCATCAACAGGGCGATCACCATGAAAACCTCAAATCCTACAATGTACTACATATATATATTACTCGTGATTACTGACATGGATTCAGAACTGTATTTTGAATACAGCCTGAGTTTCAGGGACGTCTATTAGAAACAGAAAAAAATATTAAAGAAAAGTTGGAGTTCAGTTCCCCTTGTGCTGGAGCAATGTAACAACGGAGTGAGACTATGTCTTTCTGCCTCTAACGGATCCTTTGTCCAACCCCCAGATGAAATATGGGGGCAGCGGTGGAATGACACTGACAGGGAAACACCGAGATAGTCAAAGAAAAATCTGTACCAGCCCCATATGGCGTGATCTGGGCGCGAACCGGGTTCCCTAAAGCTCCTAACCGCACAGCCACTCCACAGCGCTCTCAGACCCGTAATTCACGACCTGTCAGTCCGGCTGACTGCTCGCTCTGACAAGCAGAGAAGGGGAAAGTCGACTAATTTTCTTGTCGATGAACTTTTGAACCTTCGCAAGGTCATCTTTATTATGTTGCCATGTTCACTTAATTCCCTTCAAGTGTGAGTAACTACGCAGGTCGTGTCGTAGCTCCTTACCGCGGAGGCCTGGGTTTGTACCCAGGCCAGTCCACGTGTCTCTTGCAAACAAACGCATGACTCAAGATTGTTGGGTCTCTGACAGCTTTGCAGGATGCTGGAGCGAATCGGACAATTTGAAATCAGTAAATACGTCAGCTAATGTCGGTATATTTGCATAAAAGTTCTTGGTTTAATTAACGGCGCACTGTTTTTGCACGACTTAAGCAATGTATTGAAGCGGTTGGAGTATATTTTAAGATATTACCACAGCATCTAATCGGAGAAACCGATTAAGAAGCTGGATTAGGACATCGGAGCCTACACTGCGGGACAACCTCTATCTCGCAGCGGTGATTGAGTGATTGTTGTAAGTGGCCTGCCTTAAAGCCAGGCGGTCATCTGTAATAACAACGCGCAGTTCTCGACCCCTCCGCCCCTTCTACCTACTCGACGTTGCGACGGAGTTGCCGAGCAACCACTTCACTGTTGCCTGTCTTCTCCTCGTTCATTACGTTAGTGAAATGAGCCCGTATATATGCGGTGACAGCATGGAAAGACGAGTTTTGCAACACATACCAAACGACAAGTTTAAATCCTTTAAAATCCAGTGGTAACTATAGGTACCACCTACTCTGTAGCTCCGTATTTTGTCCATAGAATGTTGGGCGGGAGAGGTCTTATTATTCGTAGAATAAACAGCGATTATTTCCTGAAACACCGTTGACAAAGTGATCGTTGTCATGGAGCTAAGGTAAGAACTGAGTTCTAAAACTGTAACCGGTCTCCGTGGAAACGAGAAAATCTATTTCTTTCAAATGCCGTGTTGAATATACTGGCGCTACATTTTCTGCGGGTGTTCAGCAAATTTTCTCGTCGACTGTTCGGATTTCACCGATCGCGTTGTTAACCCAGTGCGGAAGAGACCCCTGTTTCTGGCTGTCGCTTTCAGCTGAAGTTCAGGCGCAGCTGACCTTTGAAACCCCTAGGACAGAGGTCATCTGATAGCATCCACACAGCCCAGTAAACAAGTTCAAACTGCCACATGCAGACAATCATCTCGCGTCATCTCCGATTATTAGATGATGTAAGAAGTGGCCCACGGAAGTGCCCGTTTGATGATTTTTTTTCGAGGGATTTGGGGCCGAAAGAGAAGATATTGCAACAGAATAACTAACGTTCACGTACAACAAGAAGCCTGCCAAATGGGTATGATCCTGGGCCACTTTAAACCACTCCCATCTGAATAGCCAAGGGCCAACAACGTTTTAACATTTGCCTGCATGGCGTGATGCTGAATTGTAAGGACAACTTAATCTTTGCGTACATGGAGACCCTTATTTTGCTGCCCGTGAAACAGATGATGAATGGAGAGAGTAACCCCTCAACGCCTTATCTCGGAGAATCACAGATTCGTTGTAATGGTTAACAAAGCAGCCGCCAGTTGGCAGCTGCAAACAGATTTCAAACAACGTCTAACAATAAGAACATAACACGATATATCGCAACACTGCTGTAATCACATATTGCTGTAATATTCCACTACTGTGATAAATATGGAAGCCAACACTTTTTCAAATGTCCAGCTTTTGTTGACGGGTAATACCAGAAAAAACCACACTCCACAGCCATGTTCAACTTTGTACCCCCAAAGTTCTTGGTGTATAATTCAAGTTATACATAGTATATAATCTATATGTAAAATAAATTAAATTAAATTAATTACTTTACTTATTATTCAGCGTTTATCATAAAATAATAATTTTTTTTAAATTTTACGTCCCCCCAAAGATGTCTTCGCGTACCCCCAGATATAATTTCTCTTCAACTTTGTACCCCCAAAGTTCTTGGTGTATAATTCAAGTTATACATAGTATATAATCTATATGTAAAATAAATTAAATTAAATTAATTACTTTACTTATTATTCAGCGTTTATCATAAAATAATAATTTTTTTTAAATTTTACGTCCCCCCAAAGATGTCTTCGCGTACCCCCAGATATAATTTCTCTTCAACTTTGTACCCCCAAAGTTCTTGGTGTATAATTCAAGTTATACATAGTATATAATCTACATCTAAAATAAATTAAATAAATTACTTTACTGATTATTCAGTGTTTCTCATAAAATAATTTTTTTTTAACTTTCACGTACCCCCTAAGATGTCTTCGCGTACCCCAGGTTGAATACCACTGTTCTAGTTGACAGGATTTTCCATAAATATTTCCCTTGTATTTTGTTAAATATTTATAGTCTAATGTCCTAAACGTTATATACTGTTATAATAATGATATCTACACTCCATATCACGTGTCGATTGTTTCGGAAGTGTTGGAGGTTCAATTTCATTTTCTTATAGGGCTCGTACGAACCTTCGCGAAAAAAAACGAAAATTGCCGAAGAATTATTTCCGTCGTTCGTAACGAACATTTGTGTAATCTGCGGTTATTCGCTAATACATTGGTCTTTTGATGGGGTTTGGCTAGTAGAAAGCTAACAAGAAACGAGGGTGTCAGTTGGACAGATTGGCAGAGCAGATGTTAACAAGGCTTGAACTCACTTCCCGTCAAGCGTTATTAATTTTATGTAATTCTACCAATTGAAGCCACAATTCAGTCTTCGTTGACGGATCACTGTTATTGAACACATTCGTAAACGTTCTGTTACGTAACACCAAGAATCATCAACATCGCCATAAAACCTGTTACGAGCAATCCAGACCATTCCTTCTGACAGAAATCTCCCGTACCAACTGGCCCATTATCGTAACGTTTTCCAGCCAAAAAATTTGTATGTATTTATTGTTTTCCGTGGGTATTATATGCCCCACCACATAATTCGTCTTGATTTAGTCAATATAATTTTACGAAATGGAAATATGTGCTCAAAGCCATGTGTACAGTCACCAAGTCATCGTTATCAGCAACGATAGTTGCTGATAGCTAACGTCTAGATTCAGTCACTGAAGAAGCCCCCGTTGCAAGGGCCCGAAAGCTTGTCTAGACGTAGCAGCGAAGAGATTCAAACTCCGGTCCTTTCGGATGCGTCACAGGTTTCTTTCTATCTTGTTTCTTCCTTTCCTTCAATGTTTCGTTTTCAGTAGACTTGACGTAACTCAGAAGAACATCTGGGGAAGATCGTAATTTGTAAACTTCCCAGTTACATCTACTTCGTGGCAAAATGACCTTGAATATGGAGGCAGTAGGTTCCTCCGAAACGTTGGCAACAATCTACTTGACTACATGAGACGTCATAAACCAATAAATCACACTTTAAAGTTTCACAACCTGAAAATCTCATATCATCGTGATATTATTATT